TTTAGAATTTTTTATCAGTTCTAGTAAGGAATAGTCAGATATATGTAAAAATAATATATATTCTTGAAAATAACTGTATATGGTAATAATATTGAAATAAATGACGTTTACTACATTTATTACATTTTATACAGGTATATGACGTATTCGACGTTTACACCTTTTTGAACCTTTTTGAAAACCTAAAAATTCGTCACACGGACCATCCCTGGTCCCAGTACAATGATTCAAAACACAACAAGAAATTATAATTTGATTTTTATACCCTTCACCACACTGTTGTACATGGTATTATGTCTTTGGGCATATGTTTGTAACAGACAAAAGGAAACGAAGTAGACATATGGTTCCTTTTGAGAATATGCATAGAATCGCTCTCTAAGTCGATTTATGCATGTCAGTCCGTCTGTCTATGTTAAATTGTAAACAAAGTACAGGTCGCATTTATGATCCGAATTAGATGAAATTTGGCACATCTCTTCTATTTGGCTCAAGAAATTTGGAAAAATCGGTTCAGATTTCGGTATAGCTCCCATATATTTTTGCCCGATTTAATTTTAATTTTGCACGAAATTTGACATAGCGTACTGAATTTAGTCTAGATTAATGTGTTTAAAGTTTTTTGAAAATTGTCCGATTTTAAGAGCCAATGTTAGGCCGATTGACACAACATATTGCACATCGTACTTCAGATAGTATAGCCAAACGTGTGTCAAGTTTTGTAGAAATCGTCCAGATTTAGATATAGCTTCCATATAGTTTCGTCCGATTTTAAGTAGGACCCATGGACCCAAAATATGTTCATTAGGACATATTGTAAGAAACAAATGATAAAGGTCACATATTTTAGTTCATCCAATTTCATCTTAATGGCCCTTCTGTTAGGATGCATTTTTTAAATATACCCATAGTGGTGAAGGGTAGCATATAGTCTGCATCGTCCGACTTTAAAACTTTCCTTACTGGGTTATATTTGATCTGATTCAGAGCTGCACAAAAGTGTTTTTAATACCACCATATATATTAATATGATAACTATAAAAAATAAAAACCAAAGACTAAGAAGTTCTGGTGGTGCTTTATAAGCAAATATAAATAAATCTGTTAGGAACATTTCTACACCTAAAAAGGCTTGCCAAATAAACTATTCTAGGCAGCTTCTTTACTCCACATATTATTCCATAAGTATTCATAACTTCATATTAAATTTTTCAATGCCAACTTAAGGAGTGTAGCCCTCGCAATTTTTGCAAAATTTTTATAAGTTTTATAGAACAGCTAAAATAGAATAAATTTTCAGAAAATTTCGATTTAATTTATGTTCCGATCATCATATGTATTTGTGGGATTATTATGCATCTAAAAATCTAGACTATAATCAAGTTTTGGGTCGGTAGATTCTACTGTTTTTACTTAATTTTTAGCGTAGGACATCTATTGTAAATTTCGCCACCTGGTCAAAAACTCTCCTTACTTTCTTTCAAATACCTATCTGCAACATTGTTTGTCACAAACTTCGAGCTAAGTCACGATAAAAGTAACACCATACATTTTATATTTTTAATCATTTTTACACAATTTATCAACATTTGAATTTTACGGCGACATACCCGAACAAAACTATTGTGATAATGGGTTGTTGGGTTGATCGATAAAATCCTGTAAATTTATGTCATACAATGCAAACGTAAATCTGAGTCTAAATTTAGCAAATTTTGGCAACTACATCCATGAGACTATTTTTTCTAAATATACAGTTTTTTTCTAATTACCCAAAATATTGCATTTAATCAATCAAATGTTGCAACTCTGTCAAGAAAAGTCCACTCGATTTCCTATTCTTTTTTTCTCTACAGATTTTCTGTATAGTCATTCTCCTCACACAATATTCTAATTTGACGAAGATCCTCTCTAAGCTTCCTTAACAGAATTGTCCATTCGTCAAATCAGTTTTATTGTCGCAGTCATAACAAACGGTCGGTCTTGAAATCGCTCTTGATTGTTTTGTGTGTTGTGTCGGGAAATCCTAAGAAAATTGAAAGAAAAGTAGTAAATCGAATAAAGTATTCTCTACTTTGTATATGAGAAGTGTTTTTTTCGTTGTAAAATTGTGTTTAATTTGCTAAATTTGTTAATTTCTTCATCAAGAGTCGCGAATCGCGAGTGAGTGTGTGTTGGTGTTCAGTAAGGTTCAACAAAAGCAATTCCCCTCTTAGTTGCATTGTGTGCATTAAAGCTTTCAGCTTTTGCGCGGGAAAGATTTAATGAGAAATAAGCTCTTGTATTTGTGTTGCCCTCCTCGGTAGTTAAAAAAATGGGACATTTTGTTGTCTCCGATCCCTCTGAGAGGAAATGTTGTTGTATTTGTGTTTCCTTATGTTAATAAAAAATAAAAAAATGTCCGGTTCCTCTTCTGTTGAAAATGATAAAAAATAGCAATGTTAAATTCCGCATTCTGTTAATATTGAAATGGTCTGTTGTAATCGCGTATGTGTGTGTTAAAGTTCTGTGAATAAAAATATTTCTTCTGTTTAAAAGAGATATGTTATTTCTCTTATGTTTCTATTGTCCAAGCTGTATTCTCTTCAAATGCAATCATCGTTCCCGAACAGGTAATTCGTTTTTGTTTGATTTTTTTATATCAGATTATGAAAAGTTGTTTTGGTAAATCGTTTATATTTATAAATAAGATGAAGATAGAGCTTTTTGATTTAATTATCCTCTAATAGATAAAGGTGTGTGTGTCGTAAATATTTCACATATGATTATAAGCGGAGACACACTACTTTATACGAATATTGGCAGAATATTTGTAACGATTGCAATAATTAATATATTAGGTAGGGGAAAAATAAATCCATTATTTTTATATGAACTATAGGACTTTATTTAACATGCTTCGGAATGTACGATTTGGGCCAAATATGTACCGTTTTGTTGTATGATTTGTTGTCATTTTAAAGGTAACTTCATAATGACTCTCTCATAGAAGTTCTGCTCTCTATTTGAATGGCGGGGGGTTGAGGGTCTAATATATGGAGGATTTATCTAAAGCTGCATTGGTATGGTACAATAATGTCATTGACCATTGGCATCAGACGTTCACACAGCACGCTGCATAGCACTTTATATGCATATATCGTCTCCTTGTTTGTGCTCGGGACACAGGATTCAGACGTTCCAATCATTGGGCATGTATTTGAAGCTTTTCGACGTAGAGTCCCCATGTTGTGTTAGATCTCACCTTCGCTTCTACATCAAGACGAGCGCGAACTTTGGCTACTACAAGGTAATGGTCCGAATCGATATTCGCTCCTCGAATCGATCGAACGTCTATTGTACTGGATGAAAGCCTTCCGTCTACCACAATATGATCAATTTAATTTCTCGCTTTTTGATCGGGTGAAAGCCAGGTGGGCTTGTGTATATCGAGATGTTTTAATCTGGTGCTGCAACCTATCCTTTTTTTTTGCTGTATCGATGTTAATCTGCCTCATGCCGTTTTCGGATGTTTCTTCATGGGAGCTGAATTTTCATAGAATATGGCTTTGGTCTGCTCGTCTTTGTCTTCGGGGCATAGGATAATAGCAATTTGCTCATCCACACTGGAATGAATCTGGAGACTAGATCTTTTATTCTCCGGTTTGCCATAAATCTGGAAATTCATGTCCGTTTCATGGTAGCTGTAATGTAGTGCATAAACATTTACTTTCGCCTGCCCCTTTCCATCGCATTACTTGTAGGGCAATAATATCGGCTTAGTATTTGTTGGGTACATCCGCCAAAAAACGAAAACTGCGCCTGTTGTGTTATATGTGCGAACATTCCAATTACAGATTCGCAGAACGTTTGCAGGGGTCGTCAACATTAAAGGGGCTTGGTTTTCATAATTTTTCATAGTAGGCTGGATTATCCGAGTAACTAACCCGACGCCTTAAACCATTTTTTATAGTTCAGCTCACTTTTTCAACGGTGACACAGGGGAAAAAGTGAGCTGGAAGATGGCCAAGATTGGCCTGGAATTTGCCAGGTTAAGAGGACCCCCCCCATTCTCGGGGTCAAAAATTTTGTTGATATAATTCGAATCTACACTGGTTATAGAATGTCTCTACAAAATTTCAAGTGAAAATCTCAAGAACTCTTGAAGATATATCCGATTTGTTGTGTCAGCATCAAGTGACGGCTGAAGGGCTTCTCAAACTTTAAACGCGTTTTTCTCTAAACATTTTTTGCGAATGGCGGGTACGATAACTCAAAAACTAATAATCCAATCGGTTCCAAATTTTTCAACGTTTCTCTGGGAGTGTATAGCTCTCGTATGAACTAGGATAAAGCCAATCGGTGAAGATCTTCCTTATTTTTTAACTTGGTTTTTGGTAAAAAATCGGCGATTTTCCAAAAAATATTTTTTCAAAGGTCCACCATTTTGTTAATTTTAGAGGGAAGTCAATAATCCTAGTTCATACGAGAGCCAGACATGTACTCTTTCTAACACCGTTGGAATTTTCGGATTCCGATGTTCCAGTGAGGAGTTATCATGCCCGCCATCAAAAATAAGGACTTTTCTTTAATTACAAAAAACAACAACAAAACAATAACAAATTTTTTTTGTAAATTATTTTTCTTCTCTTTTAAATCTTCAAATATATATGTGCAAAGTTACAAACCTTAACAAGCATTGGTATTGATTTACCAGCCCATTGAAAATCTTGAAAAATTAAAATCGAGAATGGGTGGGGTTCCCTTAAAGTCAATCAGAGCCCTTACTTGGTATCTATCACCCCCTTAATTAAGAGGGAAAAAATAAAAAAACATCATAGTGTATAAAGAATCAAAGTTTCAGAATGTTGGTCTATTTAGAATTTCTAAACATACTACCTTTTTAGAACCCCTAATTTTAAATCTCAAGATTCAAACATCCTCATCACCCGACTCTTTTTTTAATATATGTATACACAATATTTATTGCACTTACAAAAATCTACTAATAATTATTTCTATTTACAATAACTTAAAACAAATACATTCTTAATGAATATACACTGAGTAATATCAACAATATTAAATTATGTTCATTCTGGATGGAATCCGAGGAGCCACCTCTACTGGATTTGTTACCTGAAAAAAATAATTTAAAGTACAACAACTTCAAAAGCTTTCAATGCAACTTACGTTCATTACGATCCCGAACACCACAAGTCCTATACGAAATAGTCGCCTTACGTTTCGTATTAACATAACCGGGTATATACAAACTGGGAGCATCCAAACGACCTGCGGCAATCAGCCGTGACATATCCAATTCCAGGCGATGAGCTATGGGTCCCTTAAAATGTATAATCATTTGTATGCAGGAACCACCGTGTAGTTCCTTTGTTTTCCTTGCATCCACATCTAACATCCATTCCGGTATGCCCATAACGGAACGTAATTCTTCCAGGAATTGGGCTCTAGGTATGAGAATTCATTTTTATTTGTGAATAGTCTAAAAAATTATTTTCACTTACACCACAAATCTGGGAGGTTTTTGCAAATTTATATATTTAATAACATTATGATCCGGTTCAATGTTGGCACAGGCAAACCGTTCTCCCGAAAAATCGGGAGCAAAGATGACCAATGAACGTCCAATGGCACCCACTGGTCCTTCGAGTGGGAAATTGGGATCGGTGAAAACTTTTCGTTCATCACCAAGATCTATTGGCCCTAAACGTGCCCCAACATCACCTACATAACAACGCAACGGATTATCGGGTCCACATTCACGTTCATATAAGTCACGCTGTAAAAGTAAGTGAAAGGATAAACTTATTTGGATTTCAAGAGATCTTTGTTCCGCTACTTACATTCAAAGGATCTGCCAATTGGGTAAAATAGGGATTCCAAACATAACCTCCAGCTACACATCTTGTGTTTGTGGGCTTGACTGCAGCATCGACACCAACTGGATTAACAAAAATCTGCCAATTATGATTGCGGGTCTGGAAAGGGATAAAAACATATAATAATATTTTAGAGGTAGATTAAAAAAATTGGAGATTTTCCATAGGCGTGGATTATTTGAAAATATTTTTTGGAGATCTCGTAACAAATATTTTTAAAAAATCCACGACTATGGAAGATTACAAAAAATTATTTTTAAAAAATCCACGACTATGGAAGATTACAAAAAATTATTTTTAAAAAATCCACGACTATGGAAGATTACAAAAAATTATTTTTAAACCAGTGAGCGGTGCAGTATAGTCGGACGGGGCCGACCATGCCATACCCTACACAACTACCACGAACTCTAACTTTCTGAGGATGTTTATTCCGAGTCTGAGTAATATTTCGTGATATTTGCCCCCTCTTGTCCGATTAGAGGTTAACAACACCTCTTCCTTACTTTTTTCGAATATTCAGTACAGTCCTTCTAATTACTTGTCCAGATTACCTTCACGGTGGGTTGTGTTGTGATTTTCGGATTATACTCCACGAAAACACACAAAAAATTATGTTTTCGGTCCATTTCATCCCAAAATTTTAATCTGATCATCACCGAAAATTGTAGGCGTTGTTCTTGACCATAACTGGAACTTCATGAAAAATTTCAAAGCCATCAGCGCGATATTTCTCCCTCTAATGTGGTAATGGGTTACTAAATAATATCTGAATACGTAAGCATCTGTAAATATTTGACTGTAACTCCCACATCTGAGTAGACACATCACTATATTTGGTATCAATTTAAAGGCCAACCACTCCTCTTGGATATGCTATTAACTCCTGGGGTCTACATCCTCCAGGAGTAAATATATATGCCATAGAATACAAATTTTGTCATTTTTCACACAAAAGTCAGGGTCCATTTGACCCGCTAAATATTGACCGATCTTTATCAAAACATGCATGCTTATTCTCTGGCCCGATCCACTTCTCCATGCAAAAATTCGCGGTGTTTGGGCCATAATTGCGGCCTCTGAAAAAAAACCGACAAAAATTTTTTTGGTCCAATCCCCTAAATATTAACCGATCTTTTCCAAAAACAATAGGGGTCTTCATTGGCCAGATCCTACATGCAAAATTTCGTGAAGATTGGTCCATAACTGTGGCCTGTATCGTGTTTACAAATTATAATGGACAGACGGACGGACGGACCACACATAGATCGACTCAGCTAGGAGATATGACGATCGGTATACTTAAAGGTGGGTCTAGGACCAATATTTCGCGGCGTTACAAACATTTGGGGCTGCACAAAGCTATAATACCCTGACAACATAGTTGTGTAGGGTATAAAAATCCACGACTATGGAAGATTACAAAAAATTATTTTTAAAAAATCCACGACTATGGAAGATCACGGAAAAGTATTTTTTACAAAATCTACGCCTATGGAAGATCTTGAAAAATAATTTTTAAAAAATCCACGCCTATGGAAGATCTTGAAAAATAATTTTTAAAAAATCCACGCCTATGGAAGATCTTGAAAAATAATTTTTAAAAAATCCACGCCTATGGAAGATCTTGAAAAATAATTTTTAAAAAATCCACGCCTATGGAAGATCGTGAAAAATAATTTTTAAAAAATCCACGCCTATGGAAGATCTTGAAAAATAATTTTTAAAAAATCCACGCCTATGGAAGATCTTGAAATATAATTTTTAAAAAATCCACGCACATGGAAGATCACGGAAAAGTATTTATAAAAAAATCCACGCCTATGGAAGATCTCGAAAAAGTATTTTTAAAAAATCCACGATTATGGAAGGACTTATGGCCTTATGATCCGATTTTTTTTTTACTTACCACATTCCTATCATTTTTACCCGGATGCCTTAGCTTCACTTCCAACACCGTATCCGACTGACTGCCATCATTGTGAATCAATTGGGTCATTTTAACATAACCATATGCATATCCTGTGGGATGATGAAATGAGGCAATAGCTCGAATTTCCCTTGCCTCACTTGGTGAATAACCACGCTCCAATGTGCTGCAAGCCCAACGAGCATTCCTCCTCTTCTTGTGTATAACTACCGATCTCCCAATAATACTATTTATACCAAATAATGGCAACTGGGTGTCATTGAAGAATCCTTCATATTGCGTCAGCTTATCTAAGGTTCCGAATTTTCCACTCAAATCGCCCATTTCATATTGTTCGGTACTGCCGTGTCGCGGTGGCGGTGAATGTTTTGGATTCACTTGAAAAGGATTGAAGTGACCATACAGGGTGGTCTCTTCACAAGGGAAGGCCAAGTTGTCCTCTACGGGGGTCTGTAAAAGAAAAAAAAAATAAATTCCCTAGAGGGGGGATGAGGGAGGGGAGTTAGACCTACCATATGTATGTGATAGCCACTGTTTTCATTGAGTCCCTTAAATTGCACCTCAATATTACTGATATCATATTCCGATTGCTGAGTCACCTCAACTTTACCAATCACATTTACCTCATCCCCATTGGCATACCATTCCTTGGCCACCACCTTGCGGCGATAGTGACCTATGATTCTGAATAGAGAAGGGCAGATTAATATATGATTTTTTTTTTAATCCCTTGTTGACTTACATGGAACACGCCAGTCTCTCCCCTCTGGCTTGGGGTCCAAAATCATCGTACAGTACCAAAGACTTCCCCAGAATGTTGTGCCTTCCCGACAGCGGCAAATTAGTATCGGTAAACATTCGACGACTTATTTGTTGAGCATTTTGCTTACTTCCGGCAATATTGAGGGTCCCTATCCGAGTATCTAATGCTCCCACCTGACACATACCCGGTAGCCGAGCACTACAATAATCCTCCACCGAACGATTACCCCAATCCACCTTATGGGGATTAAATACCCCACCCGCCGAAATGCAACGATTTTGCCAATCATAAAAATCTTTACCCGGAGCACTGCTGTGTATAGCCCAGCGATGTGAGAAGGTATTATTCTGTGTCGAACCATCCGCATGGATGAGATATTCAAAAATTACTGTTGTATCCTGCCATGGCTCCTCTGCGGGTTGTCGAAATAGAACTCTACCCACAATCGGATAGCGGAATAGCACTTGGGCCGTAAACATCGGCTTCTGATAGATACCATTCGGCTGATACTGATTTATGTTCGCACAGTCCCACACCATTTCCGTGATATTATCCAGCTGGGTACGATTGTATTGATATACGACCAAACTACGATGGGCAATACTCTCCAGACCCTGTAGAGGTAAAAATATATCCCAATAGAGTCCATTAAGCTCAGAACTGGTTCCAGGCAAGAAGTAGTGATGATAATAATTTTTATTTCGACTCTGCAATTTGCCACTTAAATCTCCGATGGGATATTGATCTTGGGTACCATAGCCAGCGGGAGGTATTTGATGTTTCTCCACCTCTCGAGGATTGTAAAGTTCCCCAGTGGATTCACAATATCCTGGCAAGCCCAATTTGAGTGGAGCCGGGGGTAACTGATGTATCCGGAAGGCAGCAACATCCTCGGCAAATTTACGAGCCACATTTGTGGCATTTTCCGCCACCGTATTCATGGTGAAATTCAAGAAAGTGGGATCAAATTTCGAGCGTTGGGTCATGGTAATTTCGCCCTTAATACCCTCATGGTTTATTATGGACCTAAAAATATAACAATTATTGAAAATAAAATAGTTTCTTAAAGCTCATCCATCCATCACTCACTTATATGTCAACGGCTTAACCCTGCGAATTTGTGTACAAGCCAAAAAATTATCCGGATGCTGGTCCTCAAACAACACCAAATACAGGGTACGATGGGGTATTGTCAAATCGGATGGCAGGAGGGCTAATTTTTCATCACGAAACACAACACGTTGTGGTGAACGCAAGGCGTTCTTAGCCACCCGCAATTTACCCAAACGTGTATCTAAATCACCAATGCCACGACCTTCACCCTCTCCGGCCGGATCGAATACCAATTGCAAGAAATTACAATTATCCTCGGTACGATGATGATCAAATTTTAAAATATCTGTAACGAAAATTTTCCAACGATGCTTCGTCATTGGTTGACTAGGATCTGAATTGGCAGGTTGTGACTGAATGTGATATAGATCGGAATAAATGAGAGTATCGCCGGATGCCTCATCTGTCGGGGCTAACCAACGGAAATATACCGAACCGGCAACGGGGGTATTGAAACGGGCCTCCGCCACATGCTCCACGGACATCTGTATTGTGGTAATGGTGGCACAGACGCGTACATTGCGGGATATTTCGGTCAATACCAGCGATTTACCCCATATACCCTTGGGACCTGTAAAGGGAATAAGAAAATAGGTTGGTAGGAAAATAAATTTAAAAACATCAAAAAGGAAATAGTTTTGGAGATCTTCCATAGGCTTGATTTTTTTTAAATATTTTGTAGTCCTTTTAAATAGGCGTGGATTTTTAAAAAATCATTTTTCGAGATCTTTCAAAGGCGTGGATTTATAAAAAATCCTTTTTTTGAGATCTTCCAAAGGCGTGGATTTATAAAAAATAATTTTTCGAGATCTTTCAAAGGCGAGGATTTATAAAAAATCATTTTTCGAGGTCTTCCAAAGGCGTGGATTTATAAAAAATCATTTTTCGAGATCTTCCAAAGGCGTGGATTTATAAAAAATCATTTTTCGAGATCTTCCAAAGGCGTGGATTTATAAAAAATCATTTTTCGAGATCTTCCAAAGGCGTGGATTTATAAAAAATCCTTTTTCGAGATCTTCCAAAGGCGTGGATTTATAAAAAATCCTTTTTCGAGATCTTCCAAAGGCGTGGATTTATAAAAAAATAATTTTTCGAGATCTTCCAAAGGCGTGGATTTATAAAAAATCATTTTTCGAGTTCTTCCAAAGGCGTGGATTTATAAAAAATCATTTTTCGAGTTCTTCCAAAGGCGTGGATTTATAAAAAATCATTTTTCGAGTTCTTCCAAAGGCGTGGATTTATAAAAAATCATTTTTCGAGTTCTTCCAAAGGCGTGGATTTATAAAAAATCATTTTTCGAGATCTTCCAAAGGCGTGGATTTATAAAAAATCATTTTTCGAGATCTTCCAAAGGCGTGGATTTATTAAAAAATCATTTTTCGAGATCTTCCAAAGGCGTGGATTTATAAAAAATCATTTTTCGAGTTCTTCCAAAGGCGTGGATTTATAAAAAATCATTTTTCGAGTTCTTCCAAAGGCGTGGATTTATAAAAAATCATTTTTCGAGTTCTTCCAAAGGCGTGGATTTATAAAAAATCATTTTTCGAGTTCTTCCAAAGGCGTGGATTTATAAAAAAATCATTTTTCGAGTTCTTCCAAAGGCGTGGATTTATAAAAAATCATTTTTCGAGTTCTTCCAAAGGCGTGGATTTATAAAAAATCATTTTTCGAGTTCTTCCAAAGGCGTGGATTTATAAAAAATCATTTTTCGAGTTCTTCCAAAGGCGTGGATTTATAAAAAATCATTTTTCGAGTTCTTCCAAAGGCGTGGATTTATAAAAAATCATTTTTCGAGTTCTTCCAAAGGCGTGGATTTATAAAAAATCATTTTTCGAGTTCTTCCAAAGGCGTGGATTTATAAAAAATCATTTTTCGAGTTCTTCCAAAGGCGTGGATTTATAAAAAATCATTTTTCGAGTTCTTCCAAAGGCGTGGATTTATAAAAAATCATTTTTCGAGTTCTTCCAAAGGCGTGGATTTATAAAAAATCATTTTTCGAGTTCTTCCAAAGGCGTGGATTTATTTTTCGAAAAAATCATTTTTCGAGTTCTTCCAAAGGCGTGGATTTATAAAAAATCATTTTTCGAGTTCTTCCAAAGGCGTGGATTTATAAAAAATCATTTTTCGAGTTCTTCCAAAGGCGTGGATTTATAAAAAATCATTTTTCGAGTTCTTCCAAAGGCGTGGATTTATAAAAAATCATTTTTCGAGTTCTTCCAAAGGCGTGGATTTATAAAAAATCATTTTTCGAGTTCTTCCAAAGGCGTGGATTTATAAAAAATCATTTTTCGAGTTCTTCCAAAGGCGTGGATTTATAAAAAATCATTTTTCGAGTTCTTCCAAAGGCGTGGATTTATAAAAAATCATTTTTCGAGTTCTTCCAAAGGCGTGGATTTATAAAAAATCATTTTTCGAGTTCTTCCAAAGGCGTGGATTTATAAAAAATCATTTTTCGAGTTCTTCCAAAGGCGTGGATTTATAAAAAATCATTTTTCGAGTTCTTCCAAAGGCGTGGATTTATAAAAAATCATTTTTCGAGTTCTTCCAAAGGCGTGGATTTATAAAAAATCATTTTTCGAGTTCTTCCAAAGGCGTGGATTTATAAAAAATCATTTTTCGAGTTCTTCCAAAGGCGTGGAGTTATAAAAGGCGTGGATTTATAAAAAATCATTTTTCGATCATTTTATCGATTTTTCTTCTTCCAAAGGCGTGGATTTATAAAAAATCATTTTTCGAGTTCTTCCAAAGGCGTGGATTTATAAAAAATCATTTTTCGAGTTCTTCCAAAGGCGTGGATTTATAAAAAATCATTTTTCGAGTTCTTCCAAAGGCGTGGATTTATAAAAAATCATTTTTCATAAAAAATCATTTTTCGAGTTCTTCCAAAGGCGTGGATTTATAAAAAATCATTTTTCGAGTTCTTCCAAAGGCGTGGATTTATAAAAAATCATTTTTCGAGTTCTTCCAAAGGCGTGGATTTATAAAAAATCATTTTTCGAGTTCCAAAGGCGTGGATTTATAAAAAATCTTCCAAAGGCGTGGATTTATAAAAAATCATTTTTCGAGTTCTTCCAAAGGCGTGGATTTATAAAAAATCATTTTTCGAGTTCTTCCAAAGGCGTGGATTTATAAAAAATCATTTTTCGAGTTCTTCCAAAGGCGTGGATTTATAAAAAATCATTTTTCGAGTTCTTCCAAAGGCGTGGATTTATAAAAAATCATTTTTCGAGTTCTTCCAAAGGCGTGGATTTATAAAAAATCATTTTTCGAGTTCTTCCAAAGGCGTGGATTTATAAAAAATCATTTTTCGAGTTCTTCCAAAGGCGTGGATTTATAAAAAATCATTTTTCGAGTTCTTCCAAAGGCGTGGATTTATAAAAAATCATTTTTCGAGTTCTTCCAAAGGCGTGGATTTATAAAAAATCATTTTTCGAGTTCTTCCAAAGGCGTGGATTTATAAAAAATCATTTTTCGAGTTCTTCCAAAGGCGTGGATTTATAAAAAAAATCTTCCAAAAAAATAATTTGTGGAGGCCTTCCATCTTTTCATCATCACCCCTTTTACTTACCAATCAGCTGCATTTCCTTAAACCACGTTGTTGATTCATTTCCCGGCAATATAATATATTCCAAATCATCGTCGAACGTTAGAACTTGTTCCCCCAGTCGATCAAGGGCACACCGCTCATTTGTATCCGTATTGGTGTAATCTATGGGAAATTTGCGTACCGACCAACTCCAGACTTGATCGGGATATTGGAGAGTTGTTTCTAATTCCGATATTATTTCGACATGACTAGTATTGACTTGGCGAAATGTGATTTCACCGTGGAGGCCATGTTGCGATAAATATGCAATTAAATGTTGTCCTACAACAAAAAATAAAAACACACAAATTTAGATCAAAATAATGATTCTCACGTTAGGGTGATTTCTTTTGCATTCGTTTTGAAAACGCAGTGGCAAAACTTTATTGGCCAAGAGTCGGCTACATACCCGTTGCTTGTGACGCAATACTCAGAAACAAGACGAAGACAAAGAAATGTTGACTGTGGCTGATGATTAACATTTTTGTTGTTGGTTTTTTATTTTGAAGCTATACTTTTAATTATTATTTTTAATTTTCTTTAACTTAACATTATTTTATTTACAAAATTGAATTTAATTTGTTTGGAATTTTCCTTTATAAGAAAACGCTATGAAATTCCATTTCACTTTCACATTTTTTGTGTTAATTTTTTTTTCATTATTATCGCACTATTGTGTGTTTTCCATGGACGTCAGCAAACCATAACGAAAAAAACCCGAATAAAATCTCCGTCCGCAATGGTGTCTTAAACTCAACTGAGAGTTGTGGCTCAAACAAAACCAAGACATGGTAACAAGCTGGTTTGAAGGTCTACTTGTTGCTGGTTTAAAACGGAAGTTGTATGGCTGAGTGAGAGAGAGAGCCAAAGAGAGGAAGCATAACTGCTTATCTGATCAGAGTTTTGTTTATGCCCATGAAAAATGCATTGCGCATGGTGCTATGCGGAGAGTGAGACGTTTTATTGCCTATGCTACGATGTGTTGCGCATGCTCAATTTTTAGTTATTTTTCTTTAAGTAGTATTTTTATTCCGATTTTTGTTTTGATCATGCCATGCGTAGTTTAAACTGGTTCTTTGTCTTGTAGCCGGTAACTGTCATTCTTATTTGAAGTCAGCGGTCTGTGAAAACAGGGCGATTCAAAATATTTTTATACAATTTTAATATCGATCGTTTGTTAACGTATTCTCAAAAATTAAAGGGATGACAAATGCAACATTTGTTTTATTTCTAGATATGGTGGGAATGATACACATTTTTGTTTTAAATTTAGAGTCTTAAATAAACTGTCTGAAACATTTTTGTTCATTTCCATGGGTGATTTTAATCTTTCAAATGTTTCATGGGTGACAATATAGATCTCATACCGATGGTAAATAATAATCCATAATTAAAAACAGTGAGCGGAGCAGTATAGTCGGACGAGGCCGGCCATATGATACCCATCACAACTACCATTGAAATCTAAGTTTCTGCCGATCTATATTCCGAACCAGGGCAATATTTCGCGATATTTGCACTCTCTCGACCTATTATAGGTAAACAGATGTACTTTCTAACCCTGGCATATTTTCCAAATCTTATTTTCCCGAGCATAATATTTATGCTATAAAATAAGCATAAACCACTCCTCTGGATATGTCCTTCAGGAGTAAATATATACACCCTAGAATAGAAATATTGTAGTTGTTCACAGTCTGTGTCCTTTTGACTGGCTAAATATTGGCCGATATTTATCAAAACAGACATGCTTATTCTGCGGCAAGATTCCCTTCTTGGTGTAAAATTTCGTAGTATTCGGGTCATAATTGTGACCTCTAGGTGACCAGAAAAACAGACCAAAATAAACGCATTAAAATCAACAACAATAGCGGTCTTCTTTGGCAAGAACCCATCCAATTTTGTTACGATTGGTCGTGTTTACAAAGTATAATAGACAGTCGGACGGACACACATGTCTAGATTGGCTCAGCTAGTCGAGATGTGGCGAACGGCATGCATCGCGATGATCGTTACAAGCTCTTGGGGATGTACAAAGCTATAATACTCTACAACATAAGTCTATAGGGTATAATTTTAGTACCATTTATTACATATGTTCTCTTATATTACGCATTTCAAAAATTACCTCCATATACCAACACTACACACCAATTCTGACGACAACAGAAATCAAGCTCTATAATAAATTTTGTATAATTTATTAACTTTTGTACTCTTGTAATAGGTTCACACAATCCCAAATTAAGTACCAGTTAGTACACTTTATTAGAAATGTACATAACATCATAAGTACTAATTAACAATCATAAGTACTAATTTCCAATCTTACGTACAAATTTAAATTGCTACCAACATTATGTAATCCAATGGAAATATTATTACCCAATTTCAGGATTCCAGCTCCAATTTAGTGCAATTTACTGAAATTGCAACACATTTCTCAAATTTTCTACATACCCAATCCCATACAGTGATCCTAACTCCTAATGTGAAGATTCCAGCCCTATCGCTTCACCTAAATCCATGTTTGTTACCATTTAGTATACATTAGTAGGAATTTCCAAAACCGTCTACATAGCCCAATCCTATACCCCATCAGTGATCCCAACTTCAAATTTCATGATTCTAGCTCTATCGGTTCACCTAACTCCAAATTTGGTACCATTTAGTAAACATTAGTACGAATTTCCAAAACTTTCTACATAGCCCAATCCTACACCCCAATAATGATTCTAACTCCAAATTTTAGGATCCCAACTCTAATAGTTTTCATAAAAATTCTAATTGTACCAAATTTTGTACGAATTCACAAAACTATCTACATACTTCTATTCTTCACTCTAGCTCTTCCATCTCTAAATCCAAATTGCATCGAATTTAGTACTATTTAGTACTCATAACTACAAATTTACAAAACTACATCCATACCCCAATACTACACTCCAACAGTAACCTTATTTTAAATTGTCAGTGTTCTATCTTTATTTGTTCACCCAAATTCACATTTGGTACCATTTTGTATAAATTAGTAGAAATTTCCAAAATATTCTACTACCAATCCTACCACCCCAACAGTGACCCTAACTCCAAATTTCAGAATTCCAGCTCTATCAGTTCACCAAAAATTCAAATTGTATTAAATTTAGTACCCATAACTACAAATACAACATATCGACCCTACTTCTCAACCTTGATTCGCATTCCAAATGGTAACTTTTCACATGCTATGATATTGTACCAAATTTAGTACATGTCAGTGCTTTTGGGATACTTATAGTTCTGATTCCAAATTTAAAAGTTCTAGCTCTACCTTTACTTAAATACAAATGGTATCACCTTTAGCACTTTTAGTTACTTTTCGTGCCGTTCTAGTATAAATTTCCTAAAACTCCGCCTTATCTGGCACCTTTAGACTAAGAGTGGGCGTCTGTGCGTTTATGAATCGTTAAGTCAGTCAGATAGTCTAACGGAAATGCGGAAAGGGAATAGAAGACAAATAAATAATATTTTATGAGGTAACGTGAACACTGCATACATTGTTGTACTATAATTCCGAATTCCACCTTTTCTCCTACATCTAATATCAAGTTTTTTACCATTTAGTATTCTTCATACACGTAAGTGCTAATTATTTCCATTATAAAAATTAAAAAGTGATCAGAATTTCAATTATATATTTAGCAAATACAAATACTTTTCGACAGCTCCCACATTTAGTTCCATTCAGCACTTTTGGAACACATACCAAAAATATTACCCAAAAATATGAATTTCCTAAACTACCTCAATCATACACTCAAACAGTCATTTTACTTCTCGATTTCAAAATTCCAGTTTTATCTCTTCATCTATATCCAACATGTACCAAATGTAGTACTTTTCATACCCATAATTAAGAATTTTCAGAATTATCTAAATCCTGCACTCCAAAAATAATTTGTATTCCAAATTTCAGGAATCCAGTTCTATCCGTTCACACATAATCCAATTTAGTATCGTTTACTTCACATAAGTATGAATTTTAAAAATTCCAACAGTAACCATTATTCCAAATTTTAGAGCTTCAATACCCAAATCCAAATTGTTCCAAATGTAGAGCATTTAGTACTATTCATACAAATAAATTGGAAATTCCAAAACTGTCTCCATACCTCAATCCTACACTTCAACAGCAATCTAAATTCCAAATCTCAGGATTCCAGCTCTATCCATTCACCCAAATCCAAATTGTACCAAAGATAATACTTTTCGTACTCATAAGTGAGAATTTTTAAAACTACATCTTAATTTCACAAATGTCCAAAGTGTACCAAATGTAATATTTGTCGTACTCATATAAGTACGAATTCTGTTTTCAAATAGTAATCGTAAGTCAAGATCTAAAAATGCCAGCTCTATCTGTTCACAAAAATCCCAATTGTACCAGAGTTGGTACCATTCTATACTTTTCGTACCCATATTCCAAGTACTTTTAGTACTTTTCGTACACATAAATACGAATTTCGAAAGCGGTGACTTTAGCTCAATACTCAACAATAATCTTAATTCCAAATTTTAGGCCTTCAGGTCTATCCGTTCACCCAAAATCTAAATTGTAATAAATTTAGTACTTCTCGTACCCATAAGAAAGATTTTTAAACTACCTCGATCCTGTACTCCAATAGTAATCTTAATTCCTCTATTCAGGATTTCATTTCTATACGCTCAACTAAATGCAAAAAGTAACAAATTTAGTACTTTTCATATATATATATGTATGAATTTCTAAAACCATTTCCATACATCAACACCATTCCCTACCTGTATTCCTTATATAATTTCAAGATTCCAGCTATATATGTTCAATATATATACAATTAGAATGAAATTTAGTAATGACCAGTACTCTCCGTACACTTATAGGTCGAATTTCCAAATTGTACATCTTTCTAACTTCCAATCAGTGAATCAAATTCCAAATTTCAGAATTCCAGCTCTTCCCGTTTGCCTAATACAAAGGGAATTATTTTAGTACTTTTCGTGCCCTTCTAGTTCGAATTTCCAAAAACACAGTCTTATCTCACTTCTATACACCGACAAGAACACACACTCAAAATTCAAGATTCTAGCTTCAGCCTTTTCGTCTGGACGATGATCTGTCAGTCACTCACTCACTTATCTCTAAGCTCTTTTAAATATTAAGATTACATATATGATACGTATCACTTCCAAAACATCACTTCAACTTCCCTCCTGAACGGTGCACCCTGCCTTGAGGCTTTAAATTCCCCTTCCAAGTTCCGAACCAACACGGGTGTATCTTTAATTCGTCTAACGCATCTGTCCAGAGACCGAACGGGTCACTGTAACTTTATATCAGTGTTGAAATTGAGAGAAGGGTATAAGAGCGTAATTGATGGAAAATTATCAAAAATGACTGACCAAAAGAGAAAACATGTTTAGCCATCACCGCTATCGTAATATTTTGTGCATTAATGCT